CAAAATAAATGTACAATTTCCATTTAACGGTCATTCTTTAAAAGTAACCTAGTTGTTCAGTGATAAATTTTTCCGTCAAAACTTATAAGGGCCCATACGTAAAAACCACGCACACTTCAAGGCTAAATTTGAAATACTTAGGTTGTACTTGGACAGGGAACATTACCCTAAAATTTTCAGCTTTCTAGCTTCTCTGGTTTCCGAATTAGTAATTTTACCGCAGAAATTTTCATACGCCTCACGTGAGTACCACGCATAGCTGAGGGCAGAGTTTGAAATATTTGAGTTGTACTTGGACAGGGAACAATCCTCCAAAATTTCAGTCTTCCAGCTTTTTTAGTTGTCGAGTTAACAATTCTCCTGTCAAATCTTTCACGTGTTCGTATGCAAGAACCACGCATACCTGAGGGCTGGATTTGAAATATTTGATTTGCGCTTAGACAGAGGACATCCCCCAAAATTTCAGCTTTCTAACTTTCCCGCGTAAACAAATTTTCCTCCAAAAATTTCATGCGCCCTTACGTGAGTATCACGCATACCTGGGGGCTGGATTTGAAATCTATAGCTCACACATGCATAGGAAATACCCCTACAGAGTTCCAGCCCCTTAGATTGTCTGGTTCATGAGATCGCTTTCTCGCCAAAAAATTTGCATATTTCTTTAAAGCGTCCGTACGCGACACCCAGGTGTCCGTGGGGGATGATATTAAAATGAGAGGGTCACGCATGGTCGAGCCCGTACGTGGGTACCACGCACACCCCAAGTCTGAGACTGAGCTCTATGAGACCTGGGTGGGCGGGGAATATCCTTTTAAAATTATAGTCTCCTAACTTTTCAAATACTCGAGTTAGCAACTTGCCCAAAAAAAATTTTTTGGCAGGCCCGTGCGTGGGTACCGTGCATACCCGAGAGCTACATTTGAGCTCATTGAGATTCACGTGGACGGGAGACATTCTCCTAAAATTACAGTCCTCTAACTTTTCTGGTTTGCAAGTTAGCGACTTACCCGAAAAAACTTTGGCGCGCCCGTATGCGGGTACCACACATGTTCAGAGACTGATTCTGAGCTCAATGAGACTCTGGTGAACGGTGGATATGCTCCAAAAATTACAGTCTCCTAACTTTTCAAATCCTCGAGTTAGCAATTTAATTAAAAAAGACTCAGGCGGCCGTGTGTGAGTACCATGCATACTCGCAGTCTGAGTTTGAGCTCAGTGAGAATTAAGTGGAAGGGGAATATCATCTAAAAATTACAGTCTCCTAACTTTTCAAATTCTCGAGTTAGCAATTTACCCGGAAAAAACTTTGGCGGGCCCGTGCGTGGGTGCCACGCATACCTGAGGGCTAGGTTTGTGCTTATTGCGACTTATGTGGACGGGGAACACCCCTTAAAATTTCACCTTTCTAGCTTTCCTGGTTCGCGAGTTAGCCACTTACCCACAAAAAAATTTCACGGACTCGTACGTGGTACAACGCGGGTAAAACTGCCCATTTTGGGGATGGGGCCCGTATGTGCATGTAGACTAATTTCCCGAAATTTCAGCCCGGTAGTTTTTGCAGGTGCGGAAATGAAAAATCCGCACGGAGGCCCACCACAAACACAGACACACAGACAACCCCTCGTCAATTTGCGCTTTCTGCACTGCATCGCTGCAAAAAAATCATAGAAAGCCGCAGAGTGGAATCACATAAACGCCACAAAGCTATTCAAGAAAATGGCAAATCGCCAATTTGGCATCTGATGCGTGTAATTTTCCCGCAATTGCTAAAATTCGTCTCAGCATAGTTCGACCGTGCAAGATTAATTCGTTTTTGGGTTTGGGTGAAATTTGAAAGTTGTGAAAAGGACAGTCGTGTAATGCCAGATTCTTTCTTCCGGTGACAGAGTGTTGTTAATTCTCCAGTCACAGAGCACTGTTGCTTTTTATGCGTTTTGTGCTGTGTAACAG